AAAAAAAAAAGACAAAGAAAAGCTTGCAATTGTTATTTGTTGCAATGAGGATGACTCAGAAAAAATTTCCCCTACGGATTATTGGAAAGTATGCAAAGCTACGTTGCTTTAAGAATGTCAATATGAATGGCTTGAATTGTCAATATCGTGCTAATAAAAGAGTATGGATGACTAGCGTGCGTTTTGAAGAATATGTTCGTTGGGTAGACAAAAAATGCATGGTAGAAGAATTTTGTTGGTGGTAGATAATTGTCCAGCCCGTCCAAGAAATGTTAAAGGACTGCAAAATGTAGAGTTGTTTTTTATTTTTGCCACCTAACATGACATCAAAAATCCAACCATGTGACGCTGGGATAATAAGAAATTTCAAGATGTATTACCGCAATCGAATTCAACCGAAGATATTGGAAGGCTTTAAGATTTGACAATTTGATCCAAAAAAAGATTAATGTTTTAGATGACATCATTCTTGCAGTATCAGCTTGGATGGTAAACGTACAACAAGAGACAATAGCAAATTATTTCCGACATTGCAAAATTCGTATGAGGGATGAAACAACCTTAAGTAGCTCTAATGAAGTGGCTTTTGAAGAAATTTGTGAACTTGAGAAATAATTAATGATCTGGGTTACCACAACAAAATGGATGCGAATAACTTATTAGATTACCCAGGTGAACATGAAGGTTGTTTAGAGGTCCAAAGCTTATAAGAAATTGTGGATAGTGTCATTAGAAATTATGTTGAGGTTGAAGTTGATGATTCAGTACCTTTGGAACCAATCACATGGAAGGAAGCACTAATGACAACCACAACTATTCACTACTTTTTGTTGCAGCTTGAGAGTATGACAACAGAGCTTTTGAATGCAATGAGAAAAATTAAGGATGAAATCAATTTTGATTTGAATTTCATGAAAAAATAGAAAAAGCAATAGATTCATATTTTACTAAATTGCCTTAATTATATTTGAAATTCTAGAGGACTATTAATATATGATTTTGATGATACTATATACTTATAAAGAGGGTCTTTCTAAAATTTATTATCTTATTAATTTATTAGAATTTAGAATTTTTTTACATTGGCCCAAATCGGGACAAGGAGAAAATATTATTTTTATATTATTGTATACCGAGTGTTAATTTATAGAGATTGTATTTGCAAAGATAAAAAAATTGAGTTTTATTTACAATTTTATAAAAATTTGGGGTTTTAGAGGCAATTAAGCCTTTATTTTTTTTTTATTTTTTTTTTTCAAATGGCATTGAGAAAGGAACTTGGAAGACTACATACATTAGAAGATTATAGATATTTTAGATTTCATAATTATTGAACTGTTTTTTTTTTTTTTTTTTTTTTTTTTTTTTTTTTTTTTTTCATTCATGCTTCATAGCATATGACATTATGATTATCATTACAAACTAGCCATTGATTGAGTAGCTTTATTGGAGAAGAGGACATTTTAATTTTTTGTGAAAAGAGAAATGGAAAAAAGCAACTTTTTGTTCGGAAGATGTAATATTATTCACTACAATAGCATACAAAGTTGAGAAACAATGCAACGAGACAGGCTTTTCTTTTTTGTGAGAAAGGATTCCCAACTCCTTTTTTACATGATAAAATCGAGATTAAAAGTCAATAGTAAAATAGGCACAAAATCAATTTTATCTCAAACGTATATACGGGAAGGGAATCCAAGAGTCTGCAAAGCAATTGTCATTTCTTTGCTAGTTCCGAAAGTACGTTTCGCATTTAACAAGGAAAAAATTGGGTGGTTAAGTTTGAATGTTTTTTTTTCTTCTTTAATTCAAATAAAATTTGAATTCTAACTATAATATTTTGTAGTACAAAACGTCAGAATGGACTTTGTTAACCTACAGGGGTGTGAATTGTGAATAATATAAAACACTTTATGATTTGTAAAATACAACAATGTAAAATAATGATGATACACGTGAACATACAGTTTGAAGAATAAATATGATACTCTAGATCCAGACATAAATTACATGTTCTAAATGTTTAGAACAAAGTTTGGACTAACCCTTTCTATATTTACACAAGCAACTAAGGGGTACAACTCCCTCAAGGAGATACTTTTTTTTTTTTCCAACGACAAACAAATACTTCATAACCTCAAAAACAAAGATACAACCCGAAGCCAAAAGGCTACATACACGTACCATCTTTTACAAGGCAGAGCCAAGAAGATACTATAAGAGAAAATAGACCAGCTATTCCTCAACTACAAACTACTAATCTCCTACATCATTAAAACTAGCTACATAAACAGAGTATGCAACAAACTTACACAAGGCAAAAGAAGATCTAAGAGCTAAAATGTCATCCCCTATTACAGAGTTATCAGATTTATCCAGTCATTTAAACATTCCATTTTTGAGCTGCTTATCCTGCACTCTACAAATCACCTCAGTCCAAGGTAGATTCTGTATCTTTTTCATTCCCCATCTCAGAGCCAAGCAGTCAGCCTCTTTTTGTTGTCCTTCAAAATTAATCTGGGATGTCCATTTATATCTTGCCTCCAAGCCTTCGACAGCAATGCACTTCAAAAAATATCTATCTTCTTGAGGTCCTGTAGCACTGACTGAGAAGTTTCTCTGCCCTACTACCTGGGATAATTGGTCCTCAAGCTTGAGTGGTTTATCTCCTACTTCCTCCAACCCTTGATCAGAATCCCTGTCCCTCAAATTAGCAAATTCTTGCCATTCCTCTCGAGCTTCTTCCACAATTTGCCTCTCCAGCTTCCTCTCTTTCTTGAACTTCCAAGCATTCCTTGCCTTCCAAAGTGCCCACAACAGGTGAATTGACAGACAAATTCTCTTCTCTAGTTGTGAGCCTGTTGTCCCTGAACATACTTCTCCCCACCATGATCTGAAATCTATTGTCTCTCATTTCAGTGAAGTCCAACTCACTCCAAGTAATTTCCAACAAATTTTAGCCTTTCGACATCTGAAGAAATATGATTTTGATCTTCTGCCTCCCCCCCGCAGGCATCACATATAACATCAGTTGTGATCCCTTTCTTGCCTACCTGAGTATTTGTACTAAGAAATTCATGCCAACACCTCCAGACAAAGTTTTTCA